GATGAGCAGCCTTAATTCCATCTGCACCTTTAATTCCCCATTGCCACATAAGGTAACAAATTCACAGATTCCAAAGGCTAGAACATGGCCGTCTTTGGGGGGGTGGCATTATTCTGCCTACAAAAAGTATAATCTACTTAAAGATTATTTAAATTTAAATTCTATTTCAATTCTGTTTAAAGATTATTTCTAAACTTAACACAAAAGTGTAGGAAATAGTATGTGGTGAAGAGCACAGACTCGAGCCAGACTGCCTGGCTCTTCACTTACTAGTTCTGTGATCTTGAGTAAGTCACTTAACTTTCCTTTCAGTTTCCTCATCTATAAATGGGGATGATAATAGTACCTACCTCACAGAGAGTCACGAGAATTAGAATTTAAATGAGTTAATATTTATGAAGTGCTTAAAGTAGTGTGGCACATAGTGATCACTCCATGAGTCTGCTACATTTTTAAAAAACACTGTAGACTTGAGGCACTTCATCATTCTCCATATTTAATTGTAAACTCTCCTGGGGTTAAAAGACATTTATCCATTTTTACCTCCAGCAGGCAAATAGAAGTCCCTATCCCAAGCAAACCTGGCTTATCATTCCAGAAGAACAATGGTTACTAGCTCAGGGAGCTGAGGCTGCTGATCAGCCAAAGAGCATCTGACTAGGTGTGCTTGACGGGACTGCCCAGGTCCCAGGCAATTCTTCTTATGCCACTGAGGAACCCACTGGGTCATTTTCCTACTGCTGTCATAACAGAACTCCGAATTCACACCCTTTAGAGGGGATTGGAGCCCTGGTGGCATAATGGTTAAGAGCTCAGCTGCTAACCAAATGGTTGCTCCTTGGAAACTTACGGGGCAGTTCTCCTCTGTCTTACAGGGTTGCTATGAGTTGGAATCGACTCGACGACAACAACGGGTTAGAGGGGGGTTAGTCAATGCTGGGCTTAAATTTACATAATTCTTTTTGACTGAGGCCCACCTCCACCCACTTCAACAAGGTTGAAATAACTTCCTCTGTGTCTTGGTTGGATTTATGCATTTCTTTAGCTCTTTAAAGACAAGGTGTTAGTGTTCTTCTCTAGCTCTTCATACTCTCATGTATTTATTTCATCCTTTTGATTTCCAGTCTGCATCCTCTCACCCAGCTTTGCTGCTAGCTTTCTTCAATTTTTTTCTTTACTGTCTACCTAAATTCTGAATTCTTTCCCATTTTTTTCCTGTCTGGCCAGGCATGAAATACTATATTTAAATTACCCAAACCCACTCATAACAACCCTACAGGACAGAGTAGAACTGCCCTATCGGGTTCCAAGGCTGTAATTTTTATGGAAGCTGACTGCGACATCTTTCTCCTGTGGAGTGGCTGATGGGTTTGAATGGCCGACTTTTTGGATAGCAGCTCAGCACTTGAACCAGTGGGTCGCCAGGGCTCCTTATTTAAATGACAGCAGGTTGAATTCTGACCCTCTCTCTCATTTTTGTCGAAACACTAGAGTCATGCTGATGACAAGTCTTGACTTGAATAGTCACACTGGGTCACGCTCAACTTGAAGAGTCACACTGGCTCACCCTCGACTTGAAGAGTCACACTGGCTCACCCTCGACTTGAAGAGTCACACTGGCTCACCAATGGGAAACCATTACCTCTCATGCTCGGGTGTGTCCTGTGTAGTTCTCGGCTTGTAAATACCCTGCAAGCTCTGTTGAATGACGAACTGGGTATCAAAGTCATTGTCTATGTCTTCATCACTGGTGTAATTATCCATGTGAAATGCTGACAGATTTTCTTTAAAGCCAGAAGGATTTAAAAATATTTTGTAGTTGTGAAAACAGATTATCAACTGCTTAAAATTATAAATAAAATTCAGAAACGTACAAAATTGATAGAATCAATACATAAAGAAAATGCAAAATTTTGAAAACAAAACGTTCATTTAAATAATTTCCCATAAACTTAAAACATTTCCTGAAATTACCACAGGTTCGACATAAAATGAAAGTTTCTATGAGTAACCATTTAATTAAAACTTATTCAAGAAAAACAACTTTTCATATAAGACTTACTTCAATACCATTGTAACATTGAAAATGCTTACACTGAATTATTTTAGACTTTGCTTATAAGTTTTTCTAGTGATTTTAGCACTCACCAAAAAGAACCTACACACAGTGCATGTTATGCTGAAAATGTTTTATTTAGTAAACCCTCAAAATAAACATGTTATAGAAATAAATGTATTGTCATAATACAACATATAATAGGAATAGTGGTAGTAAAAACCAACATATTTTAGGCAATATATAAATGGTTTTAAAAGAACATTTCAGTTTTAGCATAGAATAGGTTTGATCACATATCAAAAACTTTTTACCTTTTGTTATATCCTTTAGAACAGCACCAACGTCTTCAATGTTAAGGATTAGTACGTGTAAGCCTCAGAATTATAATCTATATTTAGGATATCCACTCCCCTGTAGTGACTAGTCCAGTAATAGCTTTACTATAAATACTTGATCATAAGACAGTCTGGCACATTCTCCTTGTTTTTTCACACGTGATTTAGCTCTTTTTGGAAACGTGATCTCTTTTCTTCACTGCTAGATTCATCAAATTCAAAGAACTAAAAATTTTATTACTGAAATAAAATGCTTGCAGAGGATTGGCCATGAGAAGTGAATTCATACTCTTAGGACTTAGGCACATAGCTGTGCAGCCCAGAATCAATTTTCCATTTAAGAGAAGCCAAACATTTTGTTCTGACTGAATTTTTTAAAATGACTGTCCCAGTGTCTCTGATTCACAGGATAGATGTGCCAGTCTTTGCCTTAGATTATGAAGCTGTGGCCTCAGGTGTCCTGGGAATCCTAAGGAGGGAATTAAAACCACACAAAATAGCTAAATAAAATTTTGTCTGTAGAAAGGTTTTTAAATGGTTAATGTGCACTAATGTTATGAGTGCATGCTAAGACTGTTAACTATTAAAAAGAAGAAATGGACCACCTACCATTTCCAATGAAATAAAAAACAAATGCCAAGAGGCATACCACCACCTCAGGGGCAGAAGCTAGGATTGCCCTGTAGCCTTCCTACTGCCTTGGCAAGTCAACTTCACTGCTTTCAGGTTCCTCTCCTAGTCACAGGGATACTGTGAGAAATGGAATTAATGTTTGAAAAGTATAAAGTAAGGGGTTTAGTTCTATAATTGTTTTAATATTTTCCTACTTAACAATTCATGTATTTGAAATGTTCATGTATAATCACTTCAGATAGGTGAGTGGAAAGAAAACTATGACTGAAGCTGAAGAAATAACATCACCTTAACAACAAAAAGACAAATAATCCAATCATAAAATGAGTCAAGGACTTAGATATTTCACCAAAGAGGACATTGAAATGGCCACCAAACACATGAAATGATGCTCAGCGTCATTAGTCATCAGTGAGATGCAAATCAAACCCACAATGAGATATCATTTCACTCCCACTAGGATGGATGAGACTAAAAGAAAAAAGAAAATAACAAATTGTTGGTGAGGATGTGGGGAAACTGGAACCCTTATCTATTGCTGATGGGAATGCAAAATGGTACAGCCGTTGTGGAAAACAGTGTGGCAGTTCCTCAAAAAACTAAAAATAGAACTACCATATGACCCAGCAATTCCACTCCTAGATATATGCCCAAAAAACTTGAAAGCAGAAACTCAAACAGATACTGGTACACCAATGTTCATTTCAGCACTATTCGCAATAGTCAAAATGTTGAAACAACCTAAATGCCTGTCAATGGATGAATGGATAAACAAAATGTGGTACATACATACAGTGGAATCCTACTCAGCCAGTAGGAGAAATGAAGTATTGCCACATGCTACAATATGGATGCAGCTTGAAGACATTATCCTGAGTGAAACAAGTCAATCACAAAAGGACAAATATTGTATGACAGCACTTATATAAAAAGACAACAACAGGCAAATGTATAGAGACCAAAGTTTACCAGTGGTTACCAGGGGTGGGAGGGAGGGGGGAAGGGGAGATTATTTCTCATGCAGTACTGAGTTATGGTTTACGGTGGTGGAAAAATCACATTAAGGGTAGGGTTGCACAGCCAATTAATGAATTACTGTTAATAAGTTGTACATCTGCAAAAAGTGGAATTGGCAAAAATTGTGTGATATATTTACAACAATGACAAAAAAAAAAAAAAAAAGAGTAGCTGCTAAGGCTGCTTATGTACAACCAAACACCTCATGGGATTTGGTTCCTTGGATTGGAGGTTTAGGGTCATGGTTTCATGGGACATCTCAGTTAATCGGTCTAATAATGTGTTTAGTTCTTCTGTTCTACCTCCTAGTTCATTGAGTTGTGCCTGGGGTCTTAAAAGCTTGCAGATGGCCATCCAAGGCACAACAACTGACCTCTATTTACCTTGAGCAACAGAGGAAAAAGGAGAGTCAGGAGTAGGAGGAGGAAATAGATGTGTGGCTAATTGTCTCCATGAAAAACTGCCTTCTTTACCATGAGACTGGAAGAACTGGATGGTGCCTGGCTACCATTACTGAACATTTTGATCAAAGATTCTACAGAAAAAACCCGATCAAAAGGGGGAAAATGCAAAGAGAATATCAATTTTTCATGGAATCCAGATTTTCTGGAGCCATGGAGGTTGGATGAATCCCTGAAACAATTGCCCTGAGATAACCTTTAAACCTTAAACCAGAAACAGCCCGTTTAAAACCAAACAATAGTTTAGCTTAACTAGTAAGTAACGTCTGCCTTGAGCATTATGTTCTTTTAAAATCTATCTACATGGTATCAAACGGACAACAGCAACTCGAAAGATTAGATAGGAACCTTAGGGAGCAGTGAGTTATGTTAATGGGGGAGGAACAACTCAGAAAAGGACGGTGAGAATGGTTGCACAACTTGAAGAATGAAATCAATGTCACTGAATTGTACATGTAGAAACTGTTGAATGTTGATGTACGTTCTGCTCTGTATATTGTCAACAACAAAATTTTAAAAAATCACGCTTGTGAAAAGAGATATCTGATATTAAAAATTTTTCACTTAGTCCCCCAGATCTACTTTTCACACACGTAGAATTGTGTGGAACAAGGAACAAAATAAAAGCTTCAAAGGTTTCCCATACGCTTCAAAGAATGTTTCTTATCACATTTTTTTCCCAGAGGAGTCTGACTGTGATCTTCCCAAAAGAGCCCAGCTAGAAGGTTGTATTCCAGTCAAAAATGGTAAATCAGGGAGGAGAACAATGCATAGACCATTCACAAAGACCACTGCAAAGAATGACACAGATACTTGGTTTTATAACAGATATTTATTTTTAAGTAAGTGAAGACAATGATTTTTCTTCTTTCAGATGTTTTCTAAATTTGTCCAGTTTAATCATCCAACTGACAAAGCAAAGCAACCCCACGCTTGATCCAGTGCTGAATGGGTTGTTCTGTTTTTAACAACATTGCAATAACAAAGTTAGTAGAATGTCCCGTAGTGGAAAGAGTTCCTTTACGTTCACTTGTCTTGTACAAGGGACAGACATAGGCATTTGACTTCTCAATTTTAGACTTTTTATCTTGAAAAATAAGAAATATATCCATTTAATAAAAGGACAATAGGCACTGGTATTAAAAGAACAACTATTTATCTTATAATAAAACGGCCAGACTAAATCTAAGATCATGATTATGATTTTTTAAGATTTTAAAGTTTTTATTTTATTATTATGATTTTTTTTTACAGCTAGCATATAAGTTTACTTGTAAAACAAGGCGAGTGATTTCATCTGGTCTGTCTATCTAAGTGTAGACGACCGGAACGGATGTTAAAGTCCGGTTACTTGGCAGGCATGAAGGACTTGGGAGAGATGGAGTAAGAGCAAGAGAAGGAAGGGAAGAAGGGATAAAATACAGCATAGGTAATTGGGGAAGATGCAACAGGAGAAACACAGCTTCTTAGAGCTTTATACAAGAAACTCATAATTACAAGAAGCTGCACTTTCCATTTCTTTTCAGCAGGTTATTAATAAGAAAAACACACCAACTTTCACCTCCTCACAAAAAGAACGTATACACAGTCCCCAAAAAGCCAGATATATTAGTCTTTTAAAACTAAGGCCACTTTTCAAGTAACTAAAATTGAGCCACATTAATAATGAAAAAATACTGAGTGGTGACTCTGGGTGACTTGTAAATATTTTAATTTACATTAAAAATTAGAGAAGGAAGAGAAAACAAAAGGACGAGCCCCATTTTCTCAGGCATGTGGGAAACGGTGACGGGGAAGGCGGATAGGACGAGCCCCATTTTCTCAGGCATGTGGGAAACGGTGAGGGGGGAGATGGATAGGGGCCAGTGGCTTCTCCCAGGGAGAGGGCTGGTCTCCGCCTCACGTGGCTTGCAACACCTATGCCTTGAGGCACCTGGCTGGCTGGCAGGCCTAGAGTTTCTTACACAGAAAATGCTAGTCGCTAGCTGGAGACTGTGCCACGCCTATTAGTGCCACTGAGAAGTGTGTAAAGAGAGTTCAGGTTCAGCACATGCCTGGGCAGCTGTGGACTCTCTGAAACCCCTTGTAGAAGTGTCGGGGAGGGGAAAGGAAATGATTCAGCCCCATGGGCTAACAGAATAAACAGGCAGAATGATATTCCCAAAACAATAAATGCCACACTAAAAAAGGGGGGCAGGGAGCGACAATATATTTCCAACATAAACATTAAGTCACTACTTATTATAATTGAACTAAATCCTAATATGTTTGAGACAGAAGCTTATTTGGGGGAGCAGTTAATAGTATCTATCATCTTCTTCCCTAGAACGTTAAGAAATCTTGTTAAAATCATATTTACTCGGTTTTATCCATATGATGGGCATCAGGTCAAAGAGAAGTTTAGGACGTTGTTCGGCAAGCAATCCACTGTGAAGAGAAATTGACAGAAAGTAGAAACAGCTCACGAAACTTGCTTCTTAACACAGGTTGCTACTTAGATACTGGCTTTTACTAGGAGAGGACTAGAGAAACGGAAGGAAAGAACTGTAAAAAACTTGGAGGAAGAGGCAATGAAGAACTGAGATGAACAAAAGAAAATTATGGAACAGCCAACTAGACAGCCAACAATCATCAGTGCCTGGGGGTGCAAAAGGTTAACAAACTCAGCCGCTAACCGAAAGGTGGGAGGTTTGAGTCTACCCATAGGCATCTTAGAAGATAGGCTGGTGATCTACTTCTGAAAAATTGGTCACTGAAAACCCTATGGAGCACATTTCTAACACATATGGGTTGCCGTGAGTTGGAGTTGAATTAATGACATTTTTTTTGGTGCCATTTTTAAAGTACTATCATGAGGCAGGCACTGTGCTATCACATTTGACCCTCACAGTGATCCTGCCCCCACTCCTGTTCCTGTCTCACAGATGAAGATGGGCAGCTCAGACAGGTGGAGTACTTTTCTCATAGTTACACAGCTCTTAAGAGCCAGAGTCAAGATTCAAACAGAAATCTGCCTGTCTCAAAAACTATGCTGTTTGTTTCTTTCTCTGTTTGTTTGCAGAAAGGAAGGAAAAGGGAGGGAAGGAAGGCGTGATGAAAAAGAGAAGAGACAGAAATAACGGAATGAACTATGTGCAGCTGAGTCTCCCCGGAGCGGTCTTGGAGTTCTCTCTGTATAACTACCTTAGTGTTACCTCTTGTGAGATTTTTCCTTATGTGATTTTTCCCACTTTAACACTTCCTTGGGAGCAAAGTCTAACCCTGGTTCTGGGGATAGAGGATCATGCTTACTACTGGATTATGTCAAAGAGCAGGACTCCAAAGGAAATGCTTCTCCCCTTCTCTCCTACTCCCATAAATGTATACATTAAAACAGGAATAGCCATTCCTTAGTTTCCCAAACGAAGCTGGAAATTCAGTATTTCTTTTAAATATTCTCAATATTTATTATCTCATCAAAATACAAGAAGTTTTCCATTCACCAACAGAAATGGGAACTTTACTGTAGCTGTAAAACTGTTCAAAGTGAGACAGCCCTACACATTACAAAACAGAAGGTAACTGTTATAAAATGGAAGAAGCAGGACAATAATTTTAACCAACTCGTCTACTAATAAAACTATTTAAATTGTTCAGGATCTGAAAATAATCACTCATCCATTGCACTGCCCTGAATAATGATTTATTGTAAGAATTCCGGTATTATTACTTGTTTTATTCCCTAGAGGCCTCTTGGTTATTTAAAACAAAAAAAGCAGCAGACATCTTATTTTACCTAAGATTCAGTAGACAACTGAAGAGGTCTTTGGAGCTGAGAGTTGAAACTACTCACCTTTTTCTGTCCCAGCGTGCGCCATCGAGATACAATCCGTGGATAAAAACGCCATCGTCGGGTGCCGTGTCAGATGTATCAAAAGGAACGACCTGAAAGCAGAGGCACACGCTGGTAACGCCTTCCTTCCCTTCCCCTCCCTCACCAGTGTTCTGTCTCTCTGGAGTGTCCTGTGGCAAACTCTCTACTGTCTAAATGTAACGAGAGATCTATATAGGTAGGGTTGAAATATCTATCTCTGTAATAAAGACAAAGTTAAAGATCAGATTTCCTGCCCTAGGCTCTGTGAGGCAACTGTCTTTCCTGGTCTTTGTCCGAATTTCCTCTGTATTCTGATTCTTCCTATTGCCAGTCACTGTTCTAGGTGCTTTCCTCTGCCGGTCATCCCACCCTCACAACCAACCCATTCTACAGACGAGGGGTAGGAAAAGCGGCTTACCTAGGGAGTTCCCTATTAGGGGTCTTACCAGATTTCAAATGGAATACAGTCAATAACCAAAGTATGGCAGGTTCTTTCAGTATCTAAACTAGTTCATTCACCCTAGATTTTGTTCCTTTGCAGAAATATAAAGGTAAGAGCACTTTCAGTACGGACAGAATACTCCTGGCTTGAATTTTTGCAAAAAGAATTGAATTCACTTTCTTTGAATTGGTATGAAAGCAAATGAAATTCTTTTGAGGTTCATAATAAACAACTCAAAGTATGCCAAGTTATTTAAAAAAACAAAATGTATTGAGAACTTCACTTGCTACTACTGTGTTAACATTTTCACACAGAGCCTATTTATTAATTTTTATGTTTACTCATTTAGACATTATAGTACTGCTTGATTTTATATCTGCCTCCAGACAATTTAACCAAAACTAAACCCATTGCCGTCGAGTCGATTCCAACTCATAGCGACCCTATAGGACAGAGTAGAACTGCCCCATAGAGTTTCCAAGGAGCACCTGGTGGATGCAAACTGCCGACTTTTTGGTTAGCAGCCGTAGCTCTTAACCACTACACCACCAGGGTTTCTGACCAGGCAATTTAGTGGCATAAAAAATAAATTAGGCAAGTATTCAGAACACATTCAGGGAATCTCTGCTATATAATAGCTTGTTAAGCTATAAATTTTTTCAGCCATTTATATAAAAATACATAATACAGTTCTTTTTTGAAATATTGTATCAGGTTTTACTGTACCTGTTATTAAGTTTTGCTAAAATAGAAGAACATCATTAAATTATTTGAAGTGAATATTGAGATATATAAAAGTTCTAGCATAGGGATAGCAAGGCAAACATAAATTTTCTTCATGGAAGACAAAGAATGGAAAGAAGTCACACTGTTTATAATGCGCTACAAAATATAAACTCTGAGTCTCCTTCATGCTGAAATATCACGACTTTGATGTAATGATATACTATGGAGTTAAAAGAGTTACTGTACCTCAAATTCATATCCTAGTAAATCAATAGGGATGGTATGTTTTCTGGCAAAATTCTGCATCGCTCCAGTTAAAAAGGCTTGGGTGAAAAAGAAACCCGAGAGCCAAAACACATTTGGTTTTCCTGAGTCACACCAGTCCTGAAAGGAGAAAAAATACATCATGTTCATTTTTCAACTTACACAAGTGTCAGCTGACACACACTTGATTTCTGGGTCTGGTGTTCGTGTGTGTTGCCCGATCAATACACACACTGTCACACTTGCCATCACAGGTCTATCTTCCCTGCCACCAAACACACAACCTACTTTCCCTCCTACCTCTCTTCCCTTCTAGTTACTCCTCTCGGGAAATTCAAACTAATCTGAACAAGCACATGAATGAAACATGACTGGAAAGATTCAAGTCTTCTGAAAAAAGCCAAATGTAAATTATTTGGACATCTATTTTATTATTGAGTGCACTCAAAAGCAACCATCTTTAGACATCTTACACATTGTCTAACTAGAGCCCTCATGTTTTAATTCCAGTTCCTTAACCCTCGCAGTGGTGGTTCGATGGTAGAATTCTCACCCATCATACGGGAGACCCGGGTTTCATTTCCAGCCAACGCACCTCATGCACAGCCACCACTCATCTGTCAGTGGAGGCTTGCCTGTTATGATGCTGAACAGGGTTCGGCGGAGCTTCAGACTAAGACAGACTAGGAAGAAAGGCCTGGTGATCTAATTCCAAAATTCAGCCAGTGAAAACATTATGGATCACAATAGTCCAATCCCCAGCGGATCATGGGGATGGTGAAGGACCCGGCAGTGTTTTGTTCCATTGTGCATGGGGTCCCCACAAGCCAGGGCAAGCTCAGTGGCAGCTAATGACAACCACCACCCTCTTGAATCTCTTCTCTCCATGCCCTTTGCCCTGACTCCAGTTCAGATATTCATGGTCTTCTTTTTCTATCACTGCCTACTGTCTTCTTGCTTCCCCCCTCTCTCTGTTCTATACACCTAGAACAATGCTGCCAACATACACCTCACCACGCATGGTTTGGAACAGGTTTAGCAATCTGCACAATTCTCCAGTGACCTACTAACACCCACCAAGTTCAAGTCTAAAACCCTTAGTGTCCCATTCAAGACACTTCACTATTGGATCCCAAATTATATTTCCAGCTTTACCCATTTTTAGTCCCCTTCAAGCATCCTGGGCACTCCTTGGAAACTCTATGGGGAAGTTCTACTCTGTCCTGTAGGGTCACTATGAGTCGGAATCAACTCAACAGCAATGGGTTTGGTTTGTTTTTTTTCCCAAGCATCGTACGTTCAAATCAAACTGGGCTATTTGCCGGTCTCTTCTCTGTGGTGGGTGAAAATCTGTTGTTTTTTTCTCCCCTCCTTAAAGTGACACTGCCCTTATCTCCTTCTGGAGGACAAGCCTTCCTGCACTCTCTGTGCAACAACCTCTGGTGTTGGAGCTCCACCCAGACTGAGGGTGTAGGGTGGGGTCGTGGGAGTGGGGGATAGAGCAGTGAGGCATCCTTCTAGTCATAGTGACTGATTCAACCCAGTGAAAGCCAACAAGATGTAAGGACTTTTAGGAGAAAGACTCATTCTCAACTCTTTGAAGTTATATGGATGTTGCTATTGCTATCTTGCTATCATCAGATGAAAACCTAACTGAGAAGAGCGTCAACCCAAAGGGAAAGGAGCCAAGAGACGAAATGCAAGAAGCCAGGACCAGGTAACCCTGTTTGCACCCAGGTCAAATCCTGCCTGCGGTCGGTTTAAACCCTGGATTTTTCAGTTACATGAGGGAACAAATTTTCTTTTTTGCTTAGGTCAGAATTTTTGTTACAACAGAATTGATCCTAACTGATACAGTGCCTTTGATTCCACTTGTATCTCTAAGTCCTTTCCCTTTCTTTGCAGGATCTAAAACTATTCATCATTTTAGACCCAGCTCAAATGCCACCTCATGCACAAAACAAACCCCGCTCTCCTGATGCCGCCCCGTCCACGACACAAACCCTGCTCTCCTGACGCCGCCCCGTCCACGACACAAACCCTGCTCTCCTGACGCAGCCCCGTCCACGACACAAACCCTGCTTTCCTGAGCCGGAAGAACTCTCTCCCTTCTTTGAATTTCCGGAACATTTGACATGTTTGTCTTTTATGGCACATCCCTTTGTACATTGTATTAGTTTTTTTTTTTAATACATAACTTGTCTCCCTGTAGGCTATAGGCAGCTTGAAGGCAGGATTCATGGTATCATCATCTTTGTGTAATCTTTGTATAATCATCAAGGTACAACACGGTGCCTTGGGCAAAGTGTGGTCTCAGTTCCCATTTGCGGAATGAACAGATGAATGCACTGGAATGAACTTTGTGTTTGAGTGAGGAAGAACACAGCTTCAGGAAGATCATGAACTACTGCTGGAGATGTTGCAACAGTACCAGCTGACAGATCAAGAAGAGGCAGAGAAAGAGACAGAACTTAACAAGGGCACAAGCCAGGCAGAACCACAGGAAAGAACCCAGACAGCGAGTGTGTGAGAAATCCCTCACCCTACTCTACTTCACTTGGTCAAGAATGTCAGGAGTGGTCCACTACTTGCAGAAATTTCTGAATTAGCTACCAGTTACCGAGTGGTTAGTATTTGCCAGGCACTGTGCTAAGCACTTTACATGATCACTTCATTTAATCCACACAATAACAGAGTGAGTTGGTATTATTTTTCCCACTTTACAGATAGGGAACTGGAATGCAGAAGAAACATTAGTAACTTGCTCAAAGTCACATAGTAAGTGTCAGATCCAAGATTTGACCTGGGATTATAGCCCATGTGTGAAAGGCTTTTTTTAAAAAAAAAATGGCGCAGGAGAAGAAAAGAGAAGAGAACTAGGATAAATGATGAGAGGGAAACGTGAGAAGGATAGGAAACTCAGCTGACCCACCTGCTTAATCTGTTAACTCCAGGAACCCCTAGGAGGTGAAGAGGGGTGTAGGAGAAACAAAGCGGAGGAGAGAAATGGCATGGCTTCTGTAAGGGTAAATGGACAATGGGAAACCATTCAGGGGGAGGGTTGTGCTGAAGGGATAAGAGAAGCCACCCCGATAATGAGTGAGACCTTTCTTATGAATTCAAATGACGTGATTCCAAGGGGCAATTCAAATTTCGGGTAGTATAGAGATGGATGGGAACTGCATATTAACAACAACAACAGAAAGAATTTGTCCTGGAGACCACCCCAGCTGGCACTGTGCCAGGACCTCTCTGGGAATGAGCAGTGATCCTCCCAGGGACCAAGCTGAAGACTCTGAGGCTCTTGAGCAACCAAAGAGTATACAGGAAATGTAAGCAGTTCCAATAATTTTCAGAAAAGTTTGGGAAAGAAATTGGGGCATAAAAAAAATCAAAATAAAGATTATGACAAGGTGAAGATGGAATAAACTATGTGTCAGATGCTTTTGGTAAGAAACAGAAAGCGCCTGACGCGTACAAGCAGCCGGCATGCTGGAGACAGGGCTGGGAGATTCCAGGTGTGCACATTCTCACCTGGCAAAACAGCAAAGATAAAAGGATGCTAATTACTGAGAGGGAGGCATGCATATTCATTACTGATGGGGATACAAACTGAATACTTTTTCTGGAGGCTGCTTAGGTAATCTATATTAAAAGCACTAAAAAGGTCCAAATGGAATCCATTAAAGCATTAAAAGAATAAGGAACCACTGACCAAGGGGGATTTTTCTAGGAACACAAAAATAGTTTAACATCTGGAAATCTAGTGATAAAATTCAATGCAATAATAAGCTAAAGAAGGCAAAAATCACACCATCAGCAATAAATGCTGAAAAGGCATTTGATAAATTCAGCAATTTCTGATGTTACAAAAGAAGAATCCACACTGACTGATTGTTTAACTACATACAGGGACTGTGCTAAGTGCCTTGATGAATTCTTACATTTAATCATTACAGCAATCCTACGAGTTAGAAGTGCCCGTTTTATGGATGAGGAAACTTATGCTAGTGTCAACTCTTTTAAAGCCTAAACCTCTATTCTATACTAGTTCTTTTGTTAAACTTATAATCTACAAAAAAGCTCCTATAAGTCAATTTTAAAAACATAGTCCAAAAGAAAAGTGGGCCTAGGACATGAATAGGTAATTCACAGAAGACAATACAAATGACAAACACACGCACCAAAAGAAAACAAAAAACCAAATCCGTTGCCATCGAGTCAATTCCAACTGATAGCGACCCTATAGGAACAGAGTAGAACTGCCCCATAGAGTTTCCAGGGAGCACCTGGTGGATTCGAACTGCCAACCTTTTGGTTAGCAGCCATAGCTCTTAACTACTACACCACCAGCGCTTCCAACCAAAAGAAGCAGCCTCAAATAATCAAGGAAAAGTCAAACTGAAACAACAAGATATGGTCGGCCTATCAGACTGTCTCTTCATATCCTCACAAGCACTGACTATTTCACGATTAGCTTCTACAGTGAAACAAATGTTTTCTAAAAGAAAAATACAACCGAATACTGAAAAATCATATACCTAATATTTGTAAATTTCCAAAACAATATTATTTTGGGCGTCTCCTCCCTTCACACACGTATATACATCAACCACAGGATGGGGGTAAGCAGGAGAGCTGGGGAAGAGGAGGCAGTGTCTTGCCCTGAACATTCTTTACAGGGTGGAGGGTGGGGATTTCAGAGCACTCATCTTTTCTCTGGTTGTTTGAGGTTAAGAGAACATGGTGAGGCACTGATTTTAAGACAATGACCACTTATTGATAAATTCAAGCCTCAGGCTTTTTTCATGATTTACCAGTCAGTATTTAAAACACAGGACAAAACTAAATTATGGTCTCAGAGAATCACAAACTTAGAATCTCCAGAAATATACATACTGCATATTACTTGAGTTCTGGTAAAAAAACATTTTTTATTTTCTACTCAATACTTTGAAATGTGTGTAGTTGCCAATATTCTAAAATTTTGGTTAGATTACCATGAATCTATTAATCACATTCCATTTAACTCAGAGACATTCAAGTGATCACAGCCAATTTCTAACATCTCCCCAGTCACACTACCCCCCAAAAAAACCCACATGTATATTTATATATGTATATAAAATCTTTTACCTGTAAAAAGCTCAACCGGGCTAGAAAATCTGTGATGTAACTTCCCAAGGGTTTAAGACTTGGGTAGGATCGTCTGGCCCACGTTTCTGGAACCCTTCCAACAAGTAAACTGCCAGAGAGGGCCTCCAGTGTAGAATCCATTACTACCACGCCTTTAATAGCTTTCTCAAGGGCTTGTAAAGTGTTACGTATAGTTTTAATTAAACTGGAATGAAAGAAATTATGTCATCAACATATATATGATAGTAAATATCAATATGCAGTCTTTCCAGAAGAAGAAGAAATAGCTGGAATCTCATTTACAGCTTTATGCGAGTATTCCCCAAAGTGTGGTCACCTTCTACTTGGCAGTAAGTGAGGTAATTTTAGGTGATACTTAGATGAGCATTTTTCATTTGAATCATTACATTAAAAAAAAACCAACCAAACCTATGGCCGTTGAGTTGATTCCAACTCATAGTGACCCAACTGACAGAATAGAAAAAAAAAGCTGTAAATCTTTATGGAAGCAGACTGCCACATCCTTCTTCCACAGAGTGGCTGGTGGGTTCAAACCTCTGACCTTTTGGTTAGCAGCCTAGTGCTTAACCACTGTGCTGCCAGGGCTCCTCAAATCATTACATACATATCGTAAAATACAGAAAATAATACAACTAGCACTTCAAGCTTGCTGCATTCTGGGTGTTAATGCTTAGGACCTGGTAAACAGAGAATCATTTAAGGAAAAATCTCAAGTAAATAATATGATAGGTGACATATGGAAATATGGAAAAAAGCATCAAGGTGTTGTGCAATGGCTGAATCTTGGGAAACACTGCATTAAAACACAAACTGTATATTCACTTACACACTTGCCAACACTTACGCTTCCCATTTAGGCTCAAACTCCTAAGAACACCACCAATATACCTGTAGTGAAGGTTTTAGGCTAAGCAACTGAGAAACAGAATGTTACTGTAGATAAACACATGCGTTCTTTGTATAAGGAACACTAAACTAATTATGGCATCACAGTGTTCTAATATGTTTTATTTTAAAATGTCAGAAAGTCTGGAAACCAAAATAAATTTAGAAACACTTTAGAAAATTCATAACCAAAACATTTTTCCATTCCTTAAGCAGTACTGAGTTGCAGAGAATTCAGTAAAATCCAAAGTAAATAATTTATTTGCTATCATGGGGCACCAAATCAACCTAGACTGGACTCAGGAACAAAAGGGAGGTGTATGTGTGTTAGGTAGAGGAGAAAAATGACAGAAGATGTGACTATACACAGTCCTTGCTTAATGCTCATTCTGTCTTTACTTCCTGAAGTAAATGGGTGAGGAAATTAGGATTACTGAATATTTTAACTGGTAAAAGTAGATCTCTTTTTCATCATAATTTTTACTTTATAAAAATACCCTCTATTCTGGAGCAGAAGGTTCTGGAACTTAAAAAAAAAAAGGAAAAAAATTCTAATGAAATGGTAAGTTTTGATAATCTTTTCTTTAAAAATCTAATTTAATGCTACTATGTCTTTTTATTGAGGAGGCCTAGTGGTGCAGTGGTTAAAGTGCTTGGCTGCTAAGTGAAAGGTCGGCGGTTCGAACTCACTAGCCACTCCCTGGGAGAAAGATGTGGCAGCCTGTTCTGTAAAGATTTACAGCCTTGGAAACCCTATGGGACAGTTCTCCTTTGCCCTGTAGGACTGCTATGAGTCGGAATCAACCAGACAGCAGTGGGTATGTCTTTTTATTGACTTTGGTTGGTTGCCTTCTGAATCACTGATGATATAGAGCCTTACTTGTTAAATCGTTCCATTTCTTGTACTAACACAGTATTCATGCTCTCTTCGTATCTCACGGGATACTTTGATAGTGCTGCTTCAATGTCAAAATCATTGGGGAGCTAAAAAATAGATTTTGAAGATCACAAATTACTCTCAGAATGGGTCTTTATTTTCGTTCAGCTATAATATCAATAATAGCTAATATTAGGGAGTTACTATGTGCCAGGCAAAAATCTTCACAACTGGATCAATAAGCAACCTTTCAGAAGCAGATTGCCAGGCCTGTCGTCCCAGGCACCTCTGGGTGGGCTCGAACCGTCAACCTTTCAGATTGGAGATACATGGAGAAAAGATTGGCATTGTCAAGGGTTTCATTTTACTTGGATCCACAATCAATGCCCACGTAAGCAGCAGACAGGAAATGAAACAACATATTGCACTGGACAAATGTGCTGCAAAAGACCTCTTTAAGGCATTAAAAAGCAAAGCTGTCACCTTGAGGACTAAGGTGTGCATGACCCAAGTCATGATATTTTCAATCACCTCATATGCATGCAAAAGCTGGACAAGATTAAGGAAGACCGAAGAAGAACTGATGCCTCTGAATTACGGTGCTGGCAAGGAATACTGACTATACCACGGACTGCTGTGAGAACGAACAAGTCTGTCCTGAAGAGATACAGCCAGAGTGCTCCTTGGAAGGGAGGATGGCGACTTCATCTCACGCAATTTGGACCTGTTATCAGGAGGGATCAGTTCCTGGAGAAGGATGTCACGCATGGTAAAGTAGAGGGTCATTGAAAGAGAGGAAAACCCTCAATAAGACGGATTGACACAGGGGCCGCAGCAATGGGCTCAAACGTAACAATGATTGTGCGGAGGGCGCAGGACCAGGCAGTGTTTCGTTCTGTTGTACACGGGGTCACTACGAGTCGGAACTGACCCAACAGCACCTAACAACAACAACAACAATGTGCCAGGCAGGAGTCCCTGGGTGGCACAAAGGGTTGAGTGCTCGAATACTAGCTGAAACGTTGACGGTTCGAGCCCACTCAGAGGTGCCTGGGAAGACAGGCCTGGCAATCTGCTTCTAAAAGGTCACAGCCTTGAAGACCCTGTGGAGCAGTTCTACTCTGCACACATGAGGTCACTATGAGTCGGAACTGATTCTACAGCAACTAAGGACAACACCACGTGCCGGGCACTATGTTAACTGTTTCCATACATTATCGTACTTAACACAGTTAACACTCTTAGCTGGCCATTATTATCTTCATTTTGCAGAAAAGGAAATTGAAGTACAGAGAAGTTAAGAAGCAGGCCCAAGGGCACACAGCCAGAAAGTGGTCTGTTTGAGTCCACAGGTCTCTGACTGGAGGGCCCATCCTCTTAACTACTACAAGATACAGCGTTTTGTAGAAGATAGACGTTTCTGAAAAGTTGTGTGATTTCTTTTTTAAAAACTGAATGTTATTTTCCATTTATAAAACTGATTTACTATTTCAAAATGTCTTATATTTATTTCCAGTCAATTATAAACTGGCTCCAAGTAGCTTAGCTCACCTCACTATTAAGTAATTAATTCTACACAAATGTAGCAGGGTCCCAGGGCAAAGAAAGACAGGGCCCCCAAACGTGTGATTTGTATGAGGCACCTCAGAGGCTCTTGAGAAGAAGTGGTGAAGAGGACTTTGGGACTAATGATCAAGCCACAAGACATTGGGATTCACACTCTTAAAGGGGAAAGGAGTTTCCCAGTCAGCTGAGCTGTCCCAGGTAATGGTTCCTGGGTGGTGCAAAAAACTTCATCTAAGTCCAACTACCCAGTTACTGTGGAGCCAATTCCAACTCATGGCAAGCCCATGTGTGTTAGAGCAGAACTGTGCTCCACAGGGTTTTCAGTGGCTGATTTTTCAGAAGTAGATTGCCAGGCCTTTCTCCCAAGGTGCCTCTGGGTGGACTTGCACCTCCAACGTTTTGGTTAGCAGCTCTGTCAGGTATGAGATGGGACCTTTGTCCAACTTCTCTGAGCTTCAGTTTCTCATATATGAAATATGGGGATTATTATAGTACTTACCTTAGAGGGGTGTTGTGAAGATCTGTACGTAGGACCATAATCTTTTTTAAGTACCTTTAGTTCTTGATTGAAATTAAGGCTTATAGAAAAATAGTGAGAATAGAGAGTACCACTCCGCTATACTTAATAGGACTGAGTACACTGAGCTGTATTATGAAAAGAAAAAGCTCTAGCAATTAACTTAGTGTTGATCATATCTCCCTGTGCCTCCTTGCTTCCTAAGATTAAATTCCTAAGATTAAATTCCTAGATTAAAAACTGTTCTTTCCTTGAACCAGCAAGTTCAGACCAACCATTTTCTATATTTTTTAAAAGTAGGTCCATTCTTCTTGCTTATAAATGATAATAAATCATACATTCATTAGCACATCCATAACTATAGTTACTAAGAACTTACTATATGCCAGGCATTATACAAAGCACTTTAAATTCATCACCTCTTTAACCTTTGCGAGAACCTTATACAGTAGGTACTACCATAAAACCTTTGAAAGCTGGAATCTGTGTAAGACAGAAACCTGTCAGAGGCAGTGACAGAAAAGTGGTGACTGCACCCTGTCAAAGGCGGAAAACTGTTGAGACCTGGAAACGTAAGGCAGTCTCACTGAGTTCCAGCTGTCACAGGTTTCACCGTATTATCACCTTTTTACAGATTTGGAAATGAATGCTCAAAGAGGTAAAGTATCTTGCTCCGGGTAATAATGCTGGTAAATGGAGTTTTCAGATTGTCATTTCAGTGCCATTTTGATTTCTATTCTATTATAAGCCACATATTCTAAGCTAAACATTACCTTGTCGAGAATATCTTTGGTGATTTTTAATAGAGTCTGGTCAGCACTTCCTGAGGCTCCTGTCTGTGTGGCTCCTCCCTGGGTGAGCAGCAAGGACTCAAAGAGGGTTTTTGTTTGTTGAAGATCTTTGGAGATATCAACATTTTCATGTAATCCAAATATCTCAGGGTCTTGAGCAAATGGAAGTTTCTACCAGAAAACAGATTAATCAAGCAACACATGTTCTGGATATATTAATTCACAAGGCAGACACGTGCAGACCAAAAAAGGGTGAAAACCAACTAAGCATCTAATAACAGATGACCCAAACTTTTCTACTTTCCGTAATTACTAGAAACACAAGATATTAAAAGACGATTGAAACCATAATACTTGTCTAAACCTATATACTACAGGGGATTATTTCATCATCTGCATTTAGAAAAAAATCACACTTAAATCTAATCCTATTTTCAGTGATATCAGTTACCTTAATGAATTCAGTGTAATCATCATAGGTGCCTCTGGGAGGTGCAAAATAGTTTCCACTGGGAGAAAACTTATAATGAGGGTTTTCAACTATCTGCGGATTATAAAAGTCGGCCAGCATGGTCAGCAAGAGACGTCTGTCCCAATCATCTGTCACTCTCCCTCCATAGTTACATTCCCCAGTCAGGTAAGATATAGCTTCAAATGGAATTGTATCGTATTCATTTATAAATAACTGAAACAAAGGAAAAATGAAACAAGAAAACCTTAAACAAAATGAAGTCTTTTGCTTCATTTTCATGTTAAGATGGCATTAAATATCCATATGATACATGTGACTCTCTCTCTCTATCTTATCTATTTATCTAAGCATGTATGCATGTATGCGTGTATGTATATACAGGCACTCCCTGGGTGGTGTAAATGGTTAATGCACGTAGCTGCTAGCCAAGGGGTTGGAAGTTCGAGTCCACTCAGATGTGCCTTGGAAGAAAGGCCTGGTGACTTACTTTTGAAAAATCAGCCATTGGAAATCCTGTGAAGTACTTCCACTCTGTAACATCTGGGGTCGCCATGAGTCAGAATCGACTCCAAAGCAACCAACAACAACAGGCATGAAGAGGGGTTGAAAGGATTATCATCACAGATTGTCTTTTGGTGGCTGGGATTGTTGGTATTTTATTTGTAATTAGTTCACTTATCTGTATCTCCTGATTTTTTTCTGAAATAAATATGTATTGATCTGTAATAAGAAAACTTAATAAAAAATGATGACATGAAAATTACCAAGTCTTTTTCATATGAACTTGAATAAATCCTAATTTAGGGCAGTGGTTCTCAACTGGGGGCACTTTTATCCCTGTCTTAGTCATCTAGTGCTGCTATAACAGAAATACCAGAAGTAGATGGCTTAACAAAGAGAAGTTTCTTACCTCACAGTAAAGTAGGCTGAAGGTCCAAATTCAGGGTGTCAGCTCCAGGGGAAGGCTTTCTCTCTCTGTCGGCCTTCTCATCAATGTTCCCCAGGACTAGGAGCTTCTCTGCACAGGGACCCTGGATCCAAAGGACATGCTCTGCTCCTGGCACTGCTTTCTTGGTGGTATGAGGACCCCCTATCTCTCTGCTCACTTTTCTCTTCTATATCTCAAAAGAGTTTGCCTCAAGACACAATCCAGTCTTGTAGATTGAGTCCTGCCTCACTAACACAACTGCCGCCCCATCCCCCCTCATTAACATCATAGAGGCAGGATTTACAACATAAAGGAAAATCACACAATACCAGGAATCATGGTCCAGCCAAACTGACACACAAATTTGGGGGGGGGCATAATTTAATCCATGACAATCCCCTAGTGGACATCTGGCAATGTCTAGAGACATTGAGATTGTCACAACTGGAGGAGGAAGAGGGTGCTACTGACATCTAATGGGTAATAATCTGGGATACTGCTACAATGCACAGGTCAGCCTCCACAACAAAGAACTATTCAGCCCAAAATATTAATAGTGGCTAGGCTAAGAAGCCCTGGTTTAGGGCACCATTTACAACGTGATAAAAACAAAGCAATTCCAAATCAGAGTGCCAAAGCCTGGTTCACACACCATGACCTGGTTCCACTGACAACACATATCTTCACTAGTTGCCTTATTATTCTGGGGGAGAGGGGTTTATTTACTTATTTATATTTTTATTGTGCTTTAGGTGAAAGTTTACAGAGCAGATCAGTTTCCTGTTCAATAATTCATACACAAAGTTTTCCTTGACATTGGTTGCAATCCCCACAATGGATCAGCACTCTTTCCATTTCCACCCTGACTTCCTCATTTCTATTTGTCCAGTTTTCCTGCCCCTTCTGCCTTCTCATCTTTGCTTTCCGGCAGATGTTGCCCTTTTGGTCTCGTATAGTAGATTGTTCTAAGGAGCACTTTACTCGTGGGTGTTATTGTTTATTTTATAGGCCTATTATTTGGCTGAAAGTGATCTCCAGAAGTGGCTTCAGATACAAGTTAGAAAGGTGGCTAAGGGCCATAGTCTTGGGTGTTACCGAGGTGGGATTAGCAGCAGTTATATTAATGAGACAGGACTCAGTCTACAAGATTAGGTCGTGTCTTAAGTCAATCTCTTTTGAGATATAAAAGAAAGAAGCGAGCAGAGATACAGGGGGACTTCATACCACCAAGAAACAAGAGCAGGAGAATAACACATCCTTTGGACCCAGGGTCCCTGCATGAGAAGCTCCTAGACCAGGGGAAGATTGATGACAAGGACCTTCCCCCACAGCCAACAGAGAGAGAAAGCCTTCTCCTGGAGCTGGCACCCTGAATTCAGACTTCTAGTCTCCTAGACTGTGAGAGAATAAATTTGTTTGTTAAAGCCATCTAACTGTGGTATTTCTATTATAGCAGCCTTAGATAACTGAGACAGATGGTTTTAGCAAAATGTTCTCCAAGCTTAGGCTGTTCCAACTAAATTGGTCTCAAAGACAAATGCTTATGATCAATGTGGTTATCACATAATTACAATTCCACAAGCACCAGTTTCAATAATTTTTACAAGGATTTTCAAACTGGCAGATTTGTCCCAGTTAAGGTTTCTGCCCTGCCTTTTAAAAAACAGAGCTGATAAAATGTCAAAAAATTTCTATAATAATCATCTGTTACAATTTATGATTTTAAAGTTTGGTATTGCTGTTGTTAGTTGCCACTGAGTCGATTCCTACGTGTGTAGAGTAGAACTCTTCATAGGGTTTTTTTTTTCTTAAATATATTATTATATATTTGGTGAAAACATACTCAGCAAAACACGCTCCCATTCAACAATTTCTACACATAATGTTCAGTGACACTGGTTAAATTCTTCATATTGTGTCAACATTCTCATTATTTCCGTTCTAGTTCTTTTACTCCGATTAACTTAGTCTCACTGCCCCCTCCTCCAAACTTCTCATCTGTGCTTTAGCATAACGGTTGTCCATTTGGTCTTATACGGATAATTTTTTAAAGAATGCAGTAGTCAAAGGTGACATTCTTTACTTTTTGAGCTAAACTGCTATTTAGTTTAAAGGTGACTTAAGGGTATAGTTCCGCTTCAAGGTTTAAAGTGTATCTCAGGGCAACAGTCTTGGAGATTCCTCCAGTCTCAGTGGATCCGGTAATCCATAAGGTAATCTTTCAGAAGCAGATTGCCAGGCCTGACTTCTGAGGGTGGGTTAGAACCGCCAGCCATTCAGCTAGCAGTTGAGCGGCTGTTTGCGCCACCCAGGGACTGCTAAAATTTGGTATAAACATGATTACATATTTATAGCCTTATAAAAACCCACTTGACTGAAATCTAGAAGTACCTAATTGGGCTTTACCAATACTTTCCATTTCCCTTTGTGAAGCCTCATGTCATAAAGTACCTTAATCTCAGCAAAGAAGCAGAAAAAATTAATATTCTGTGGTTGTCTAGCTGGATTAATATATTTGGTAAAATAGGATAGAAGTAATGGAAAAAGTATTGGAGTTGGAAAGATCCAAGTTCAAATCCTAGCTCAAGGGCAAGTTCACTTCTGAACTTTGGTTTTTGCAAAAAGAATAATACCAACCTTACAGGGTTGCTGTCAGGATTAGAATTAATATAGGTAATGGACCTAGTTCAATGTCTGAGTTAGTATGAATTTATTTGTTGTTGTTAGTTGCCAACGAGTTGATTCCAACTCATGGCCACCCCGTGTGTGCAGAGCAGAACTGTACTCCATAGATACTTATTCTTCTTTTTTTTGGGTGGGGGTGGTGCTGGAGAGCATTGTCGATCACCTGAATGTCTCACACCGTGAGTCTACAGAAGCTGGAAAAACCAGCCACTCACTTTCCCAGCTTCCCTTACAGGTAAAGCCTAGGCCTACAACTTGGGCTTCGCTACTCAGTTGCGTCCACCTTAGACTTTGAACTGGGGATTAGGGCGCAAAGAAGTAGAAACAGCAAAGAATCTCTTTGGGTGTGGTTATGATATCAGAGGGCCCACAAAAGACCAGAGGCTGTGCGGCAGCTATGTAAGCTGCAGTGTCTAATATTCAACAAAGGTAGTGATGCTGCTCTTACCAGATATGGTACGATTCTAGATATACTTTGGATGCCTTGCCTCTGAGCCTGGCTCTCCAGCTGTCTTGGTGATTTTGTGAGCTATCCAGTATTTTTTCAATTAATTCATTTTCTGCTTAAATCAGGCAGCCTATTTCTGCTTAACTTAGACAGCTAAATTGCAGAGCTTACTGAATGGGGGAGGAGAATAGAGGATAAAAGGATTTATATAAAGCTAATACTGAGGATGGTACTGCAAAAGGACAGAAAGAACCAGGGCCCTTGATGAAAACGTTGTTGTGCTGCTGAAATGGCCAGCCCAAGAGCCTTTATCTGCACCTCTTTTTAATGTGAAATAGTATTTCATTATGGTTTAAGCCAGGTTAAATCAAGTTTCCATTACTTGCAACAGAAAGAATCCAGATGGAGATTACGTTTCATAAACCATAGTTATACTACTAAGATATACCCACCTAATAGCGGTTTTGGGAGAAATGACTAAACTATCCTAAGTGAAGGGATCTGCATAAGGCCTGGAACATAGTGATAGTCTATCAGTGCTAGTTCCTTTCCCATTTTACCTGCAGTTGTCGGACACTGATGCGTAAGTCTGATTCATTAAATCCGTATGGAATATTCCAACCAAGAGGACCAAATTTCTTTCTCTCTTGCACAAGGGCATGAAAAAAACAAACTCCAAACAGCAACTTCTCCCATGCCTTTAAATACCAAAATTACACAACAACAAAAAATCAGAATCTCCAGCAGTGGGACACTGGCTTCTTTAACAAGCTCCTCAGTTTTATTCACACTGTAATCGGGTTCATCTGGCATAGGTTTCCCTCAGGTAGAATCTAAGCTCCAATGGGACAGGATCTTTATATGTTTTTTATGTCTATATATCTCACAGATTTATTTTTTTAAATGGCAGATTACCAGTTCCTAGAAGAGTGCCTCTAATCCATTGAATAACTGAATGGATGGAGATAGAGGAATGCATCCTGACCTTATGAAGAACACAACTGAATACAGGAGACAGATATCTAAACTGACAAACAACTAAGATCATTGCTATGTAACTCAAATGCCCAAGATGTCAACAGCCAGTAATACAAAGATCACATTTACATTTAATGGCCAAATGATGATAGTTCAAATTATTGCTGGCCCAAATGATAGAAACTGCCTTTAAGGGCCTCCCAGCTACTTCTGAGAAGCTCCAGTGGAATGCCTACAAACCACTCAGCTGCAGAAATCACAGGGCAATGTTTCTCAAAGTGTGATACCTGGATAAGCATCACCTGGGAACTTGTTAGAAATGTAAATTGTCAAACCCCATCCCAGCCTACTACATCAGAAACTCTGGGGGTGTGAAGCAGCAATATGTGTTTTAAAAAGCCCTCCAGTTGATTCTGATGCACACTAAAGTTTGAGAACTACTGTCATAGGCCATTTACATCCTTTGTCTTCTCTTAGCCCAGCTCCCAACTGTTTTTACTACCAGAGAAGTTGCTTGGCGAAGCCTTACCCATTGCCACTGGTCATCATGCAAACAATGGTACATGACAGGAGTGTTGACTTTGGATATCCCACAAATTCCAATACTTGGGGTGTCAACGTTACTTGCTGAACGTTGTGATGCAGGGGTGAGAGTGCTTCCTCTCTAATTCAGTGCCACTGTTTATTTGGGTCACCTGAGCCCCAAAGCAGCTCTGCTTGTGTTTAGAATCTTTCAAGTTCCCCTTCTGTTTCTGGCCCTCTCTCTAATCAAACACATAACACTTTCTCCATCCTACTAAGTGCTCTTTCTAGCTAAAACCACCAAACATCCACCCATTCTCCTAGAGTTACAAACAAAATTATTGCTTAGAGCTACAGGTACAAAGAAAGTATCATTAAGCAGAGGAAAACTAGCTGGCTTCCAAAGAATTCAATCTTTTATTCTACCTTCAATATCATTCTTTTCCTAGCTCAAATAGGAAAGTATGATAAATAGCCTGTGTTGGGGGCAAGGGCAAGGAGAGGCGGGTGCAGGGTGGTGGGTATGCTTTCCCCCCAGAACTGATGTTTCCCTGCATGTTGGGGGATCTCAATGTAACATTCCTGGTTTTTCTTCATCCTTGTACTAACCTACTGCAGAAACGAGGAGTGACCTATATGATTGGTAAATTTGGGGAAAATTAACCCAACATGCTTGGCTCAGCTTCTCCCTTTTTTCTCTTAGAAGTGAGCTTCCTGTAGGAAGTTGAATTTTCCTCTGTTCCTCCAGGTGGATAAATCTGCTTAATCTTGTGGTTCAGTAATAGGAAGCCCATTTGTTCACAGATATAAGCTACACCTTCTACCCTAGCCTATAACAGTAATTAGGGTTCTATTTTGGCTTCCACCTGCCTATTCTTTTTCCTGTTTCTCAACTGGTAAGAATTTAGGCAATGAAAAGTCCCCTACACCCTAAAGCCTCCAATTCCATGTGCAAAACTGATTATTAGTATGTTAAATCACTATTACTAGAATTTAAGTTCCATGAAGACAGGTTTTTTTTTGGTCTGTTTTGTTCAAGCTGCTTTATATCCAGTGCCTAGGGGAGCGCCTACCACACATACTTGTTGAAAGAATGAATGAATGATGTGAAAACATATTTCTGTTCTTGGGTCTTAATCAAAAACACTGTTGGGATTTGGTTTACAAATTTAGATACATTCATTCATTCAACAAGATTTATTTAAATGTCTCCTATGTGGGAAGCAAACCACAAAATATTGAGAATAAAATGGTGAACAAGACAGTTACAATTTCTTTCTTGTTAGGAAATGCCTAAAGTTTATTATTTTAGAAAAGTTTATATTTCCATATTTTCTCAGTATAGAAACATATTTTAAAATTTCCCAATTACCAATTCCTTTCCAGGGCATCCCTTGAAAAACACTTCATCAGAAATTGGATCACTGAGATACGATTGAAGGAGATTCAGCCGGAGACCTGTGGGAGGTTCGTTTGTCATTTTTACTCCATTCTGTAGAATTGTTACTGGGAACTAAGACAAAATAAACAAAGAGCATTACGCAAGGCAGTAAACTCCAGCCCTAAAAACACACATAGTGGTAGATTACAAAACAAGTATAATGAAGGACTCCAAAAATATTAAAAAAATCTCATAAACTTAAGATATACAATGTAACAGCAACCAAAAAAAAAAGAAAAAACAAAAAGCCCACAACCAAACCCGTTGCCATTAGGTTGATTCCAACTCATAGTGACCCTCTAGGACAGAGTAGAACTGCCTCATAAGGTTTCCAAGGAGCAGCTGGTGGATTCAAACTGCTGATCTTTTGATTAGCAGCCATAGCTCTTAACCACTGCACCACCAGGGCTCCTTACACTTTAACAGATAACTAAATAAATGTACTCAACTCCATGGGAAGTAAACATACTTTAGGAGATGGATAACTTGTGAGCCAAAGCCTAAAGGAAGAGTTACAGGTTTCAGAAGTAAAATCTTCACATATTTTTTCCAACATGGGCATCCAGGAGACAGCAAGGTGACAATTCTGTAGACAAACCCAAGTTCCATCTTCTAATGCTGCTTTAATCATTTTTGTTGCAATTGGTCCTTGTCCCTGTCCCAGTGATATAGCTTGAAACTTATTTCCAGACATAGCTTTATCATTTGCAAATTTCAGCAGGCCTAAGATGGGCACAAAAAAATTTGTCTCACTACTAACTCTAAAATTACCAAATATGTCTTATGATTTCAGTGTCTAGGTGTTTAATTGTGAAAAATTCTAGTTACCTTTCTCTGTAAAAACTGGATTTATTAACCGATTTACAACCATATAAGATATGTGCATTGAGTAAGATATCTTATTTATAATTCCTTAAAAACTTACAATATATATTCACTTACTAGCCATGGGATCTGCTCCTGGAGAGAGCACAAAGACTAAGGGGATAGTGCAGTTTGAATCCAAGTAACTCTTTGCCAAATCAAATGATGGAGGCTCTACAAACTTTTTCCCTAGTTTGTCAGTTACATAATTTGTTATAGCTGGGATAATCTGTTGAAGATAGAAAATAGGACCTTTAGAGTAATTTTTACTCCATGTAACAGCTCTGATTATTATGAAAACCAACAAAGAGTGAAACGGGTCTAACGGTTAAGAAAAGCATGTAACATATCATAGACAAAATGCTGATTTCCTTAATATATGAAAAGATTCTACAAATTAATAGGACAAATCCAACAATCAAAAAGAAAAATCGGCAAAGGAGACGAACAGTTTACAGAAAATGAAATACAAGCGGATCTTAAACATATGAAAAGACGCTCAACCTCATTCAGTGTAGCAGAGATTGTACAATGTCCCCCTTCTTTGCCTCTTTTTGGTAATAGAACTCAAACTCAATAAACGGAATAGTTCTTAACCACTGCAGCACCAGGCTCCATTGACATATGCATAAAAGGATAAGTAAGAGGCAGATAACATTGATTGCCTGAGGAGAAGGGTGCTGACAGACAGAGAGGTGGAGACGGGACACACACCTTTCATTGTATACCCATATAGTCATGTGATTCAAGACAGTGTTGAGCTTGAACCACAGGAATATGTTACTTACTTATAAATTATATTAAAATTAATTAAAAATAAAAGAATGCTACTCATCAACATTAGAAGCAGAAAATTGGTACAAAGAGGTATAAGACATTATCTTCTAAATGCCAAACAACTCTCCAAAATGAAAGCTCTAGAAATTCAAAGGAGGGAGGAGAGATCATCCCAGACTTCTGCAGTCCTGGAAGCTCCATGGAGTAGATGGAAAAGAAGGATGGAACCTTCTATCCGAGTAATTTTGTGTAGTTTTAAGCCATTCTGTTACTGTTTTGAACTAGTGCAAGTTTCTAGGGGGAGGTAAGAAAGGAACGGGAAAAAGGTGCCAGGTTAGCAAACCGCTGGGCTGTAGTTCTGTCATTATTCTACAGGTATTGGAAAACCACTGAAGCTTTTTTTCAAAAACATCTTATGATGACATGGCAGCTTTTAATTTTTTTCTTTGACATCTCGTGAGCAATGATGAAGTCTTTGTTTATCCCTGTACCCCAACACCATGTATGGTTCCTACCTAGCATACTCATTGCTGTCAAGTCGACTCCGACTCATAGCAACCCTAGAGGACAGAGTACAACTTCCGCATTGGGTTTCCAAGAAGTGGCTGGTGTATTCAAACTCCCAACCTTTTGGTTAGCAGCCAAGCTCTTAACCACTGCGCCACCAGCGCTCCAGACTTGGCATAGTAAATCTTTAATATACATTTTAAGTAAAGGGAGCTCTGAAGACACAGACTTTGCTCCTCATTACTCTAAGCTCTGGCCTGAGTCAACACCTCCTGAGGTGATGTAATCACAGTTAAGTGTGATAGTTTTCTATAGAAGGGATGCCCTTATAGTTTTCTACAGAAAAGATGCCCCAACAATTTAATGTAAGAAAAAAAGTTACAAACCTTTCCTATAAGATTTCAGTCCTTCATGTAAGATACTCTAGAGAAGATACTCTGTAGACTTGAGAAGACCTGGAACCCTGGTAGCACAGCAGTTAAGAGCTTGGCTGCTAACTAAAAGGTCAGCAGTTCGAATCCACCAGCCACTCCGTGCAAACCCTATGGGGCAGTTCTACTCTGCCCTATAGAGTCACTATGAGTCAGGATCGACTCAATGGCAACAGGGTTGAGAAGACATAAGATGGGCTTTAATTCAATTTAGTTTAATTCAATTCAATTCACAGACATTTACCGAGCTCCTACCATCTGCTAGGCTCAGGGAAAAAATAGACACAGGTCTTGGCCTCAAGAAACTCACTGTAGTCTAGTGGAGGATGCTAACAAATAAACAGACAATTATTGTACATTGTATGTGGGAAGTGCTACAATGATTAACCACATGCTTCTAAGCATGGTAGACAAAGTAATAACTCATTCATGGTATTGAATGGCATTTCCACTGGCCAGCAAGGAGCCGGCCATTCTGTGGAGGGCAAACAGGCAGATGTTTGCCAGATGTAAAGCTATTCATTCCTCAGCTTACCATGAATAAGGGAGACTACTGGTGATAAAATAATGAATAAAGTATTGTTTTGGACTTTAAGGAATTTCTTGTCTACTGAGAGGGGAACATATAGCAAGTAGGGAAGAAATCAGGCAATGTACAACAAAGGTCTTTGGGAGTTAGAGTAAGCAGAAATGCTTCAGGAGTCAAAAAATTATGTAGGTCTCTGTTTGAATCTCCTCAGAGACTAAATGAGGTATTACATGATGCTTCGTGTGAGATTTTACTAAAAACAAGAAATGTTAAAAAAAATTTTTTAAAAGGTGGGGAGGAGGGGGAAGGAAAGAAGAAAGGAAGGAAGGAAACAAAGAAGGAAGGAAGGAAATATTGAAATCACTTTCAAAACCTTCATTGTATACATGGTGAAACTGGAGCTCAAAAAAGTGAAGCCACTTAAAGTTTGAATTATGTGTAGGGACATAGTTTTTAGTTTTCTTTCTGTTAAAAAATTTCTTTTGTAATACCATAATCATCTTTCTTGAATGTGTGAAAACTGTATCAGCCCACCTGTCTCACCAGTAGAAAACTTTTGTGAAGGTCTGAACTAATAAAATTGTGACCTGTACAAGATTTCCACCAACTTCTGCTTCCAGCCATGATGGAATAACCTGGACCAGATTTACCCTCCCGTATAAACAAGTTAAAAATGGCCAAAATTAATGAAACAACCATTTTCAGATACTGGGCAAAGGTGGCACAGACTGTGATCCCTGAGAAAAAGGAAACAAACACAATGAACCCTATTATTCCCTTATTTTTACGCCTGGAGGTACATTCCAGTGGTAAGGAAAATGACTGAATGCACTGCAACACAGTGTTGCTGAGTTGGGAAGACAGAGATCAGAGTTCAAGGAGGCTGAGTCTGCTGAAAGTTGCAGAGTTCCAATTAGGTGGGAACTATGCAGAAAAAATAGCTCTTGAATCTTTGCTGAATACCATGTGTGCATGCATAAAGACAAGCAAAGAGCAACCAGGGAGCTGTGAGCCGGGGAGTTCCCAGAGTTCATGCAAGACTGGGAACCATTCAAGTTCCCAAAAGCTACAGTGGAGAGTCCTTGTTGATCACTTGGGGGCATTCAATAAAGACTCTAGAAGGCCACACCTTAGTGTTGGGGCTAAATTATCCATTGAATAAAGGCTATTTTAGACCAGCCCTAATAAATCTTTAACACACTCTTTGAAAGGAATAATCTGAATTTAAGTAATTTAATTACCTAGCACAGGGGTGGAAACCCTGGTGATGTAGTGGTTAAGTGCTATGGCTGCTAACCAAAAGGTCAGCAGGTCGAATCCACCAGGCGCTCCTTGGAAACTCTATGGGGCAGTTCTACTCTGTCCTATGAGTCAGGATCGACTCAATGGCAACGGGTTTGGTTCTTTTTTTAGCACAGGGGTTGGAATATTTTTTCTATAAATGACTAGCTAGTGAATATGTTAGCTTTTGTGGGTCAAATATAGTTTCTGTTGCATATTCTTCTTCTTCTTTTTTAAACAACTCTTTAAAAATGTAAAAGCCTTTCTTGGCTTGTGGGTTGTACAAAAACAGGCCAGGGCTGGATTTGCTCCACAAGTGTTATTTGCCAACTCCTGGACTAGCATAACAAAGCTCAACAATCTTTAAACGAAGATAACAAAATCCAAACCATCAATAATATAACATTTACAATGACCAGCATTCAATAAAATATTACTGGACATGCCAAGAAGCAAAAAATGTAACTCATAATCAAGAGAAACATCAGTGAATAGAAACAGGACCAGAAATGATGTAATTAGCAGTTAAGTATTTAAAAACAGCTATTACAATTGTGTTCAAACATTTAAAGGAAAACACGAACAGAGTAAGAAATAGAGATATAAAAATATAAGATTTTTTTATATATAGAATAAATAGAAATAGAAGATATAAAAAAGAACCAAATGGAATTTTTAGAGATGAAACATATAAGAACTGAAATAAAAAATTGGATGAAATTAATAGCAGATTAAACATTACAAAAGAAGAAATCATCAAATTTAAGATAGTAATAGAAATTCCCCAAACTGAAGCACAGAGACAGAAAAAAATTAAAAAATAATTAACAGAGTATCAGTCACTTGTTGCATAATATCAAGCAGTTTAATGTATATGTAATTGGAGTCCTGGGTAGGGGGTACAAAAAATATTTGAAGAAATAATGGCGAAAACTGTTTCTCAAGTTGAGGAAAACTATAAACCCACAGACCCAAGAAGCTCAATGAACCCTAAGCAGGATAATCAACCCCTCTGAGCAACTGAAATGAAGATTAAAGAACCAAATAGCAATAATTTTAAACCTGGTACTTCATAAATAGCAAATTATCTGGGTTCCAAATAGAATATATTTGTCTTTTACCTTATCAGGTCTTAAGCACCGAAGAATTATTATTTTCTGTAGTTCATTTAGTGTTGTATCCATTGGTTGTGGAAATTGAGCATTGTGTGGTTCTTTACTGTCATAGATTTCCCGCCATTCATGTATATTTGCAGAAAAATGCTCCCTAGTGAAAAAAAGCTTAATAATTATTCTTTTCATTGGGGAAAAACTTAAAAGAGAGATTGCTAGCAAGGGGATGAAAAAAGATAGCTATAGGACTATTTAAAAATCATCAGATTTAAATAATTACCTGAGCCCTTTGAAGGCAGAATATTCACTTGCATGACAAATTTCCTCCCAGCTTTTATCCTGTAGCCAAGATGGATCAGGATTTTTCTCAGCACTCTTAAGACTTACTCCTCCAGTTAAAAGAAACATCAGTTCCTGGTATTCAATCTCTTTCCTTGCCCTGTGTTCCCAAAATAAGGACTGTTGGAAATTGCTGATCTTAAAATTGAATGAAGTCAATTTCTGCTTCTAGCCAAGGTGGAGAAAACAGGACTGGACTTAGCCTCCTGCCGTAAACAACTATAAAACTGGACAAATGAATGAAACAATGTTTTTGGAAACCGTATAATAGCCAGTGTACGACTTCGGTCCCTGAAAGAAGGACACAAAGAAGGTGAGCTCTGTGATTGCCTCAGCTGTCTGCCTGAAGGCACTTTCTGAACCATGGAGTAGGGAGCGGATCTAAATCAAAGTTTGGCAGTATTGCTGAGTTGAAGAGACTGAGAAAAGAGTTAAGAAAGGCTAAGGTAGCTCCCAAAAGGTTGGCAGTTCAAATCTACCAGCTGCTCCTTGGAAACCCTATGGGGCCTGTAGGGTCGCTATGAGTTAGAACCAACTCGACAGCATCTAACAACAAGGTAGCTTCCTAGAGAGGAGGGGGATTCATGGTAAAGGATCTCCAGAAATCTGCATAGGTGTCATCTTGTTTCTATTGCTAAATACTAAGGCATAGCTATGTAGGGTAATACTCCATCAACCCAGGCAAACAATGTCTGGGGAGCTGTAAACTAAGTAATTCCCAGATCTCACACAGAGCTGGAAAATATGAGTTCTTGCCAGCCAGAGTTGAGTCTCTGCTGAATGCCAGAGAAATTCAGCAGAGACACCAGAAGGAACATGCCTTGGTAGTAAAGCTAACCTAACCTTAGCATAAAGGCTACTCTAAAACTGCCGTAAGGAAGTTTAAAAACAAGCCTTGAAAAGATCAAACTAATCCAGTAGTAATTTAACTAACTGAAAAAGTACAGTCTAATGCTTGAATATACCATGGACTGCCAAAAGAATGAACAAATGTGTCTTGGAAGAAGTACAACCAGAATGCTCCTTAGAAGCAAGGATGCTGAGACTACATCTCACATACTTTGGACATGTTATCAAGAGGGATCAGTCCCTGGAGAAGGACACCATGCTTGGTAAACTAGAGGGTCAGTGAAAAAGAGGAAGACTCTCAATGAGATGGACTGACATAGTGGCTGCAACAATCGGCTCAAGCATAATGATTGTGAGGACGGCACAGAACCGGACAGTGTTTTGGTCTGTTGTACGTAGGGTCACTATGAGTCAGAAATGATTCGATGGCACCTAACAACATAAAAACAACTGATAATACCGAGGCCCTGATTATCCTGGCTTGTTTGTTAAATGGAAATTCCATGCCAGGTGAGACAAGCTTAGATGACCACATGCTAGAGCCTTCATGCCCCTCCACCAAGCACCCAGCTCCTAAAGCACGGGTTTCACTCAGAAAAAAAGCACACCGTCCCTGCCCCTAGCTTCAGAGTCATGGCTCAGAGATTTTGCTCAAGAGAGGTAGGTCATAAAACATAGAGCTTCAAAGCTCTTCCAAAAGGAATGGGCTTCATTTATACCAGAGTGTGGGTAAGTTCAAACCTACAGGTGCTCTAAAAAATAATGGAGGTGGTGGTGAAAAGCAATTAAAGAGGATACTTGTAGTTTTCTTAGCAATATAAACTAAATCAGAGACTGGCTTGCTTACCAGAGAGAATCAGGGAAATATACAGGTAAGGAGAACCCTCCAGGGTATGATGGTTAATTTTATGTGTCAGCTTGGTTAGGCTATAGCCCAGCTGTTTGGTCAAAACACTAGTCTAGATGTTGCTATGAAGGTATTTACATGTGATTAACATTTACAGTTATTTGACCTTAAGTAAAGCCTCCATAATGTGGGTGGGCCTCACCCAATCAGTTGAAGGCCTTAAGAGCAACGACTGAGGTTTCCTGAGGGAAAAGGATTCTGCCTGAAGATGGTAAACAGACATCCTGCTGCACTTACAGTCCACCTGGCCTACCAATCTTGGATACAAGACTGCTGGAGTTTCCAGTCAGTTGCCTGACTACAGATTTTGAATTTGAGAATCCCTACAATCACATGAGCTAATTCCTTAAAATATCTATCTATCTACTTCATCTCATGCACTTTGGACATGTTATCTGGAGGGACCAGTCCCTGGAGAAGGTAGGACATTATGCTTGGTAAAGTAGAAGGTAAGCGAGAAAGAATACCCTTGATGAGATGGATTGACACACTGGCTCAACAATGGGCTGCAAGCATAGCAATGATTATGAGACTACTGCAGGACCAGGTAGTATTTTGTTCTGTTGTATATAGGGTAGCTATGAGTCAGAACAAACTTGACAGCACCTAACAACATCTTACTGGTTTTGTTTCTCTGAAGAACCGTAAGACATGAGGTCAGAGAAAATTTCAAACACTGATCTCAAAAATTATCCTTGTAAAGGCTCCTGAATTTAATTGGATCAGTCTGTGGAGCAATTTATTCCTGAAAACATTGTTGAAAATAATAGAGCAATCAGCCAGAAATTAGCAAAGCTGAACAGCTGTGTGGAGTCAGGGACAGAGACAATCAAAGAGGGCACTCCCAAATCACTGTCATCCCGAAATGACTGTGTGCGTGATAAAAGCTGAACCCTCAACAAGCAACATCAGAGGCTTCACACTGAAGGAGGGAATTAGACTTCACTAAAATAATCCAACCAAACACTAAACAAATTAAGAAAATTAACAATAACAAGCTCCAGAAGGGAAGGGAGTCCTATATCCAGAGTTGCTACAATATATTATCTAAAATACACAGTTTCCAACAAAAAATTATGAGACATACAAAGAAACAAAGAAGTCTGACCCATCCAAAGGGAACAAAGCAGGAAATAGAAACTGCCTGTAAGAGCAATCAGATGTTAGATTTAAAGGCAAGGACTTAAAAGTAGCCATTATAAATAAGTTCAAAGAATTAAAGGAAATCATGCTTAAAGAAGTAAAGGAAGGTATGATAACAAATGTTTCATCAACTAGAGAATATCAATAAAGAGAAATTACAAAATGTAACAAAAGGAAATTCTAGAGTTAAAAAGTACAATAACTGAAATGAAAAATTCACTATAGGGGCTCAACAGTAGATTTGGACTTGCAGGAAGAATAATTTAAAAAACTTGAAGACAGATTGACAGAAATTATGTAATTCAAAGAATAGAGATTAAAAAGCGTGAAGAAAAATGAACAGAACTTCAGAGAAATGTGGGACACCATTAAGTGCACAAACATATGTGTAATACAAATGGCAGAAAGAGAAGACAGTGAACGAGACAGAAATGTTTGAAAAAATAATGGCTAAAAACTTGCAAAATTTGAAGAAAAACTTTAATTTACACATCCATAAAGCTCAATGTCTTAGTCATCTAGTGCTGCTCTAACAGAAATACCACAAGTGGATGGCTTTAGTAAAGAGAAGTTTATTTCCTCACAGTAAAGTAGGCTAAAAGTCCAAATTCAGGGCATCACCTCCAGGGGAAGTCTTTCTCTCTCTGTCGGCCTTCTCATCAATCTTCCCCTGGACTAGGAGCTTTTCCGTGCAGGGACCCCAGGTCCAAAGGACGTGCTCTGCTCCCAGCACTGCTTTCTTGGTGGTATGCCCCCTGTCTCTCTGCTTGCTTCTCTTTTTTATATCTCAAAAGAGTTTGCCTCAAGACACAATCCAATCTTGTAGATTGAGTCCTGCCTCACTAACACAACTGCTGCCCTTGCCTCCTCATTAACATCACAGAGGCAAGATTTACAACATATAGGAAAATCACACAATACCGGGAATCACAGCCCAGCCAAACTGATACATACATTTTTTGGGGAACATAATTCAATCCATGACACTCCATAAACTCCAAGTAGGGTAATAGCCACAAAGACACTTAGCATCATATTAAAAATGGTGAAAGTCAAAAACAAGAAGAAAATCTTGAAAACAGCACAAGAAAAACGAATTGTTGCTTACAAGTCCAATAAGATTAACAGCAGATTTCTCATCAGAAACAATGGAGATCATACAGCCATTTGGAAAAACAGTCCAATGGTTCCTAAAAAAACTAGAGGTAGAGCTTCCTTATGACCCAGTAATTCCACTCCTATATACTCTAGGGGTCTAAAAGAAGTGACATGAAAAGACATATGCACACCTATGTTGATTACAGCACTATTCACAATAGTAAAAAGATGGAAACAACTGAAGTGCCCATCAATGGATGAATGGATAAGTAAAATGTGGTACATACATACAATGAAATACTACTCAGTGATAAAGAAAAAATGAGTTCCTAAAACATCTTGGAACATGGATGAACCTGTAGGACATTATGTTGAGTGAAATAAGTCAATAATAAAAGAACAAATATTGTATGTTCTCACTTTTATTAAATGACATGAACAAGTAAATATACAGAAACTAATGTTCATTACTGGTTACCAGGGATTGGGGAGGAGGGGGATTCACTTTCTAAATAGCAGACACTTGTTATTTTAGGTGATGGGAAAAATAACACCAAATGAGGGTTAAATGTACACAACCTGATGAAGGTAAATGATGTCACTAAAAAGTACACAAGAAAAAAAGGACTTGAAAAATTAATCACCAACATTATATGGAAAGGAAAGGGGCTCTGGATAAGGAAAGCATTACTGAAGAAAAAGAACAAAGGAGGAGGACTCACACTATCTGATCTCAGAACCTAATATACAGCCACAGTAGTCAAAACATCCTGGTACTGGTACAACAACAGACACATAGACCAATGGAACAGAATCGAGAACCTAGATGTAAATCCATCCACTTATGGTCAGCTGATCTTTGACAAAGGACCAAAGTCCATTAAATGGGGGAAAAGACAGTGTTTTTAACAAATGATACTGCAAAACTGTATATCCATCTATAAAAAGATGAAACAGTACCCATACCTCACATCATACACAAAAACTAATTCAAAATGGATCACAGATCTAAATATAAAACCTAAAATAATAAAGATCATGGAAGAAAAAATAGGGACAATGCTAGGGGCCCTAATACATGGCATAAATAGAATATAAACCATAACTAACAACGCACATACACCCGAAGATAAACTAGATAACTAGATGCTCCTAAAAATCAAACACTTATGCTTATCAAAAGACTTCACCAAAAGAGTAAAAACAGAACCTACAGACTGGGAAAAATTTTTTGGCTACGACATATCCAACCAAAGGTCTAATCTTTAAACTCTGTAAGATACTTCAGTACCTCAACAACAAAAAGAGAAATAATCCAATTTAAAAATGGGCAAAGGATATGAACAGACACTTCACTGAAACACACACCATACACCAATTCAATAATTTCTACAATGTACAATTTAGTGACATTGATTACATTCTTTGAGTTGGGCAACCATTCTCACCCTCCTTTTCTGAGTTCTTCCTCCTCCATTAACACAAACTTACTGCCCCCTAAGTTTCCTATCTAATCTTTCGAGTTGTCTATTTGATCCCATATAGATAGATCTTAAAAGAGCACAATGCTCAAGGCAGACATTCTTTACTAGTTAAGCTAAATAAACTATTGTTTGGTTTTAAGAAGACTTCAGGGGATATTTTTGGTTTAAGGTTTAAAGATTCTCTCAGGGAAATAGTTTCAGGGATTCATTTAGCCTCTATGGCTCCATAAAGTCTGGATTCCACGAGAATGTGAGATTCTGTTCAGCAATAAATAACATATATTTTTAAAAGTCAGATAATAATAAGTGTTGGTGAGAATATGGAGAAATCGAAACACTCATAAACTGCTGGCAGGAAAGTAAAATGGTGCAGCAACTCTGGAAAACAGTCTGGGAACTCCTCAAAAGGTTAAACATAGAGCTACCATTTGACCCAGTAATTTTACTCCAAATATCTACCCAAGAGAAATGAAAACATATGTCCACACAAAAATCTGTACACAAATGTTCATAGCAGTGTTATTCATAATAGCCAAAAGGCAGAAATAACCCAAATGTTCATCAACTGATGAATGGATAAACAAAATGTGGTATATCAATTCAATGGAATATTATTGAACCACAAAAAGAAATGAAG